TGGGGCTGCCAGCAATGTGTCTCCATATAGATGTTGTCTCATTGCTATTGACAATAATTAGTTGTCTTTATTTTTTGTTAGAAGACAGGTTATATCTTATCCTGATGGTTTCTTCCCTTACCAGATGCTGTTTCAAATATTCATAAAGGCAAACTCCTACAAGATAATCCTTCCCCAGCTTAGGTGTGTCTTGTTTTGCTCTCCATAGTTCAAACACCTATCGGCTCTTCCTGTTTCAAGAACAAGGCTCCCATCACTGTTGCAATCCCTTGAACCTCTGCTGAAGTTGATAGGAGGTAAGAATGGCTACAGTTATCACTCTATCACATGGCATATTTCAAGGATGTCTGAAAAACTTGAAAGAAACTCTGCCAGTTTACAGCTAGTAATGTGAGCTAAATTAGTATTTCAAGTATGGACATGGAAATGCATTGCCTTTAACTCCTTAGTAATTTCCAGTGTTTCAGTGATACTAAGTTTCATTTGGGTTTTAGTTTGCATTCAGGTCTATTTTGAGGACCAGTTAACTGAGCTTGTGGCCATGATCTCTTGCAGCTTCTGTCCTCTTGCATCAGTGTCCGTACAGAGCATCCCTACCACAAGAGTGGCACTGAACCTTTCCAATTTGCCCAGTATATGTGGGGGTGTTTGAGATCCATTCTGTGGCAATTGAGTCCCACCAACCATCACTCAGGGTGTGTTTTGAGCCTGCCCACCTGCTAGGTCTCAGGACACAGTGAGGGAGATGCTTTCCTGAGCTCCCAATGCTTGTCACAATCAGTGGCAGGCACTAAGAAGCGCTTCTTTTTCTGTAGCAGTGAAACAATTCTGTTCCCTTATATAGTGAGCTTGCTTGAGTCTATGTAAGGATGAACCTTGTTTGTCTTCTCAGCAGTGACTATCCCGCTTGTCTCCTTTCTGAGCTCCTGCTTTATATGTAAGCTTCCCCCTGATCTCTTGTCTCCTATCAATTAATTGTTCTCTTCTTCCCCTAACCCTTTTTTATTTTCTTTCTTTCTGAGTATTCTGAGAGGAAGGTGTAGATGGATTTTTCTGAGCTATTTCCTGATATAGCTTCCTTGCCTTTCAAACTCCTTTCACCAGCTTTGCTGCAAGGAAGCTCCAGCGTACTGTCTGCTCTGCGTAGGCTACTCATTCCCCTGGTGGGTCTGCTCTGTGTAGGCTACTAATCCTTCTGGTGTGTCTGCCATGAACTGCTCTTCCCAGGAATGCTGTGAGCAGTGCAGGGAGTCTGTGCTCTAATTGAAAGGAACATCTTTCACTCTGTGCCACCTGATGCTTCAGTCTGCATACATTTTCTCTTGAGATTCTTCTAGTAATTTTCTTTGTCCTGGTGCTGTTTGTCAAGCTACCAAGGATGTATAATGTGTCCTGAGTTGTAGCTGCTGTTTTGTGTGGCACCAAACAGAGGCAGCCTTGCAGGCTGAGTGCCACACACTTTCTGTTTGACGTCTTACTTAATGTGTATGTTGTTTCTCCAAACCAGACAGCTCGTCCATCTGTGATATTCATGTGAAGAAAGCATTGGTGTACCCTGACCATGTCTGTACTACTTCACACAATTCCTTCTTCAGTATTATCTTAGAGCACATGAGGTGAATGTCTTCATGCTGAGGTAAAGTAAAGCTTTCCTGCTGCATGCTGTGAAAGTGCCATGTCTAGCACAGGACAGGTACCCACACTGAGGTCCCATGCTATCTTGTGAGGGACCAACTCCCTGCACATAAGTCCCCACCCAACTCTGATCTTCACAAGACACATGTGCCTTGCCATTTGCCTTTTTTCTGCCAATTTAGAGTTATAGAAATTCACTCTGAAACTCTAAGGCTCATGTGTCCCTTAGCTGTGGTACCTTCTGTGCATTTCTGATATGAGTTTTCTTCTCACAACCATTATGTGTGACCCAGCAGGCAGAACAGTCACCTGTCTCCTGATACCATCCATAAGACTTCCTTCTGCATTCTTCTCTCTCTGCTACACTCCGACCAACTTGCTCAAGAGTATCCACTCTTTTCCTCCTAGAGCTGCTCCTTTGAAGCTGTTCTAGGTCTTATTGAAGAGACAAACAAATGCAAATACTGTCAAATAGGAACTGGTGGGGGCAAGGAATGGAAGGGCTCTTGCAGTGACACCTTGTCACTAGCTTAGTTTAGCTGCTGTGCCAGGTTGTGCCCGCTCAGTGATCTGACCAAAGTCAAAATATGAAGCATGACCTTCCAAATGCATCTGCATAGATAGGAAACTGGTGCTGGTGTGATTGTTCTGTAGTGCTTCCAGTTTCTAATCCTTTGTATCTATAGGAACAGAGTTAGATCTGGCGCAGTGCTCAGGCAGAGCGGAGAGGAAGTGAAGGCAATGTACAGCCTCAGTTCTGTGCAGGTTTTTTTCTTTCTTTTTGCTTTCCACAGTGTTGGTAACACGGACAGTTTTCATAGTGTTACTTCCAGAAGTTTCAACTTAGTGTGTGATAAGCACAGGTCATGCCTGCATTGCAGCTCAGCTGCTCAGATCAAAAAGCAGTTTAAATCAGTCTTGATCCCTGATTATTGATACGTGCCCTTGCACTGCTATAAAGCAAAACCTACAACTTTAACCCCTGCTAGGCCAAGTGCCTGTGTAGCCCCAGCCTTTCTGTAATCCTAGCTGTCCTGATGCTGCATGTCTCAAGGAGGAAGGCTGTGCTGATTTGTCTGCCTTTGCCAGCCACAGGCTCCTCATGTGAGCCCAGCAGGGCAGGCAAGGTGGGCACGCCGTGTCTGCCTGCAAGCAGGGAACCTGCTGGCTCCCCTGGGCTTTGGGGACCTCCTGCAAAGGACAGGTTGTCCTTCTAATAAGGCTGAGAAAGGTATCACTGCTAATCTTCCTTCAGCAAGATGATGTGAATCAATTCTCAGGATTAGTGTTATGGTGTGAAGTCAATGAAGAGAAAAATAAAACCTTTTTTTTTTTTAAATAAAAATCAGCCTTAGAAATAATGTCTTACCAGAAGCGGGGGAGGAAGGGACATGGTGTTCGACTGGTGAGAAAACTTCACAAACCTCACCAGAAGACAAGCCTGATTCCTGACTGTAAAGACATGATGCTGGAAGAGGAATTTTTCATCTATGCTGCCTGAATGTTTTGTTCTAAATTTAAAATTTCCAAATAAAATTCCATTATGTTGGGTAAGTTAATACACAGGAAATCTTCCATGCAAAGTAATTTACAGTATTTCAGATTTATTTAAGTGTTTAAGAATATAGTCCTTAGTTCATTAAACATGCATTTAAGAAATTGCATTTAAAAATATAGGGGGAGCCTAGCAGTTTGTTCTTATTCACAGTTTATTCAACTTGAATTGAATAATGTTTTTATTAGGTACTGTTTATCAACACTTTTCTTGATATGGCTGAGAAGTTGTAGCTATTTATCTTTTTCTTTATGCTTTCCAGCAGCAATGCAAAGATTGCACGCAAACTGGAATTAAACATTTTAACAAAACCATAACATGCTGTGACTAGTGGAAATTTGTGGGTAATACGATCTTCATGGCCCACCAACAAGCTTTGTCAAAAGCAATGTGATATCTGGGCACAAATGTTGTGGTAACTGTTGGTTAACTTTGGCTAGGGGCTGTTCCAAGGAATGCTGCCAAGATTTACTCTCTGGTGCATTCAAAATTTTCTTGAACTGGTAGTACGCTGACTTAGTCATGCCAAAACCTAAGATCTCCGCATCAAACATGAAGAACTGGCAGTAGTAGGTATGAGGGGAATTTGCACTGAAGATTAAGCTCAGGGTTTGAATTTTAGGTGCATTATAAATGTAATTAGAGTAAAATAACTCCCTTCTACCCATCTACCCTACAGCTTTTTCCTTAATGTAAGGCATCTCTTTAAAAACACTGCGAAGCTGCTTGCTGACACTTTTACAGTGATACAATGCATATAAAACATAAATGAAAAATGCTGATACTGAGAATGTATCTTAATTATAAAGAAGTTTTTAATGGATGCTATGATATTTTTATGTGAAAAGGTCCACCTCTAACACCCTTCCTCCCATTTTCTTAACACCTTTTTCCCCAGTGCTGTTTCTGGTTGTGTCTGCTAAACTCGCTGTGATGTCTCCTGTTCTTCAGAAACTTGGGCTTATTTCCTTGTGCCATTTAGGTCTTCCTTGTTCCTGCAGCAAACAGCGCTTTCACTTCCTGGAGCTGGGAAGGCTTTTGTTTAATGTCACCCATTGATCATGGCTCACGGTAAGTGCGTTAAATGTAATGGTCTGTAAAGCACAGGTCAGGGGTGATGCTGTACAAGTCCTGTTTTATCTTTAAACTCTGTAACCCCTGTGGGAACACTTGGCCTTGCTCCTCTCCATCTCCTGGGCTCAACTTTGCCAAGCTGCAGAAAGCAAGGGCGAAATAAACCAAACCCATCACCCTGACCCGCTGGGAAAGGTCATCCCAGCGGAGCCTGAACGGGTGGTGGCTCCTGTGCTTGGTCTGCCACTGGAGATCCTGGGAGGGTGGCTCCGGGGCAGGCTGTGCGCAGGAGCTCACGGCACAGCAAGCCCTTCTGCAGGGCAGATGCTCCCCAGGGCCTCGCTCGGTGCCAACAGCGGCTGCAGCCTTCAGCTCCCCAGCGCGGAAAGCCGAGCCCGCACACGCTGCCGCCGCCACACCTGCAGGCTCACACCGCCCGCCACCCACCCAGCCCCCGGCCCTGCTGGGGGACAGCTCCTCCCGCTGCCCGCAGAAGGGGTCCAAGCCGGCGGCGGGCAGGCCTCCCGGGCCGATTTTACAAGGAATGCAGTGGCAAGGAAACAATGGAGAGCCGCCCCCTCTCCGCCTCCCCACCGGCGCTACCATCGCCGGGAGCAGCGCGCCGCCGCTAGGGGGCGCCGCGGCGGGGAGCGGTGCCGGGAGGGGCGGAGCATGCGCAGTGGGCGCGCCTCGCCCCGGCCGCGCGCCTCCGCCCCCTGCTCGCGCCGCCGCCGCCGCGAGCGGTAGGAGGAGGAGGAGGAGGAGGAGGAAGGGAGAGAGAGAAGAAGGGAAGGAGGGAGGCAGGTCCGGTGGCCCTCTCGGGTAGCCCCAGCGGCGAGGGAAAATGGCGACGCTGGGAGGCGAGTCGCAGCCCTTCCCCTCTGCTGCTCTGGCGGCGGCCGCCGGGGTGGGCGGCGGCGGCGGCGGCGGCGGCAGCGGGGCGCTGGGTCTGCAGGCGCCGCTGACCCGCGGTCTGGAACGGGCGCTGGAGGAGGCGGCGCACTCCGGGGGGCTCAACCTGAGCGGCAGGAAGCTGAAGGAGTTCCCGCGCAGCGCCGCCGCCCTGAGCCACGACCTCTCGGACACGGTGCGGGCAGGTGAGCCCGGGCGAGCGGGCGCGCAGGAAGGGGGGGCCGGGCAGCGGGGAGGGCGGGTGTGTGCCACCGCCCGGGACCCCCGCGCCGCCCCCGCAGAGCCCCCCAGCCTCCCTGCGAGGCGAACACCCACTCCCCACCCTTTCGCTCGCCTTCCTCCGGGGCCCGTCCCCGCACGGAAGCCGAGCCCACCCCCATCTCTCCGTGGACCCTGCGCGTTCTTTATTCCCCCCGCCTTGGTGTATGAGGTAGGTGTTTGCTTCCATATGGCTGGATCTGTGCACGCTCCCCTCCATCCCCCCGCTCGGCGTTTGGTGAGGCAGAGCTGCCTCTCCCAGGGCACACTGGGGGAATGTGTGGGGAATTCTTGCTCGCACCTGTCCTCTTCCTTCTCTGGGGAATGTGCGTCTCTGTGCCACCCTTGCCTGCCTGCTGAGGTTTGCGGTGGCAGCCAGCCCACCTTTGATTCAGCCGCGGCAGGAATGCGCACACGGTGCCAGGGTGGATGCCGGCTGCGTCTGTCCCGCTGCTCGTGGGTGAACCCACCTGGCACGGACGGGAGGCCAGTCCGTCTGTAACCACATTGAGATACTCGTGTGCCTCTGGAAGTGTCACCCATTTGCGTGCCGTAGGGGGAGGCATGTCCATAGGAAGACTGTTTGCTGTGTAGACGCCCCAGGGAGCATGCTGCCTCTCACAAATGCCACTTGTGCAGCACTGGGGTTAACATGCCCCCTTAGTGTCCTTACAGGCACTAAGTGCCACAAGTGCCAGCTCTGTGTAATCTTACAGGGCAAATGTAGAGAGAAATCCTTGTCTTCACAGGCACTATGTACTCTACAGTGGGGGACACCATCATTACATAAATCTGCAGAGGGGACAGGCCTGACAGCCCTGGACATGCCCCCTTAGTGTCCTTACAGGCATGTAGCCACAAGTGCCAGCTCTGTGCAATCTTACAGGGCAAATGTAGAGAGAAATCCTTGTCTTCCCAGGCACTGTATGTACTCCACAGTGGGGGACACCATCATTACATAAATCTGCAGAGGGGACAGGCCTGACAGCCCTGCAGGCAGCAGTGGTGAGGGGATGTGTATTCAGTGTGTGGTAACTTGCTCTCACACCTTTTTTCCAACATGAAAAAGGGCACACTTCTTTCACACCTAGGGAGGCAGGCCCACCTCAGAGGGTCATGTGAGTTTTCCTGCTCCTGTTTATCCCAGGTAATGGAACCTAATCCCTTCTTTACATGGTGTCACTGGGCAGAAGGGTGCAAACCCGCATTAGAGGAATATATTAGTGTATTGCTAAGGTCTTCAGCGTACGGCCTCCACCTGCCCTTCTGTCCTCATTTGCCTGCTGGAGATAGTGGTGTTGTGGCAGCGGAGCAGGAGACGTGTAGTCACTTGTTCTTGCCCCACAAAACAGCAGGTGCTATACCTACATGCAGACATGGGATAACATGAATCTAAATTCGCAGCTACTCCTGCACGTGAGGGCATTTATGCCTTCCTGTATACGGAGACACACGTGTTGGTTGTGTCTGTCTTAGTGCCTCAGATGTATGGTAGGTGTCATGTGTTATTGTTGTTTACCTTTTTTACTTGATGGCTGTTGCTGAGTGGATTTCACATTGGTCTGTGTGACCACCTGTATCATTATATCAATAAAAGAAAAGTGAAGGAAGCTTGATGAATGAAACTACCATGAATTGATGGCATGAATTACCGTTCTAACCACTGGCTGACTCAGTAGCAGATGTGAAAGGGACAGGCATGGAAGGGGAACTCTGTGTGGTTAGAAGAACGACTTTCAGCTTGCCATCCCAAGCAAGGCGTTTTTTATCTCCTTTCTTTTTCAAAGTTGAGTTCTAGCAGACATGCTGCAATACAAGATAAATAGTTTGGTAATCCAGAAATTCAGCTTGTTTAATATCGAACCAAACTGTTGGAAAAACTATATTGTATACTGGGAAGAAAATGGTTTGATTGGTAGTGATTGCATGTGAGTACTTGTGTATTGTTTAAGTATGTGCTGTACAGGCATGAGCTGTGTGTAGTATGTAGAGGTAGCACCTGCTTCTTACATGCTTGCTTGTTCTACTGACTTTTCTAAGAAAAAAAATACTCACTATCTTTAAGCATTATTGTGCTTTTGTCAGAGTTTACATGGAAACATTCAATGTGAAATTGAATGTAGAATTGCGTTTTCATTCTCTTTTTGTTTGATATAAACAGCAGTGTAGATCAACCCGTGTCTTAATCTTGTGACAACAGCAGCCCTTTTATCATTGTCTCTTTTTAGAAGAACACTGTGTTAATCTATGGTTGCTTTAAGGTTTTGTTTGTAACAGCTTGTTGTAACTGTTTAATGGGAACTGCCTTGAAAGTTGTATGTTGATATATTTCCAAAAAATCCATGTTTTTTTCCGTTTGTTACATTACATAACAAATATATAAACAGAAGAGATGTTTGGCTTAAGTCCAGATTTCTGAAACTCTTGGGGCAAACTCTTGATGGGAATTTTCTCTTCTGCTTCCTCTCCATAAATGTGCATAGTATAAAACTTTTTTGTACTACTTGGAATAGATCCTTGAAATGAGTGATTTGTAGTTTTGGATCTGATGTGCTGACATGTCTCTGAAGTCCTGTAACATTGGTTTTTGGGGTAGGGGTAGCCTTTTACTGTTATTTTTGAGGGGAGGAGAGGATTGCCAGTCTCACTGTAAAATGAAGATACTCCTTGATGTAGAGGAGATGAGTGTGGGGGGGTTAAGTTTACAGCTCTGAGAAGCAGGGAATTTCCAGAAAACTGAAACTATGTCTGCACTTGACAGTGTTTTAGTACTGCAGACTGAAAATATTTTTGATTCAGAAAATGATCATCTCAGCTTCTTATAAATTAAATATTACCAAACTTGTTTTCTAGAAAGGTTCTGAGTGCTTTTCATAGGTCTGAGGAAGAAAAAAGTGATCAACTTTAAATTCTCTGTTCATGCATTTATTTTTTTCTCAAAGTTAGAAGTCAGATTTTATATAGCAATTGATGCACTTATGAAAGGGACGTGGCTTGTTTCCCTTTAGCAGCTGGGATGGGATAGTTTGAGTTTTCTAGTTCTCACTGCAGCTACATTCTGTGATAACTACAGAGGCTGAACTGTACTTGTTGCTTTCTATTCCTATGGCTCCTGGTTATGCTTTTTCTTCTGTGACTTTTCTTTGCATTAAATCCATCGTGGTTATAGGAATGTGATAGAACATTTCTTCCTCAGACTTTGAGCGTTCTGCTCAAGTGCTGAGAGACCCGGTCAGGTCTCTGCACACAGAATGGAGTTTTCATGGTGTTCAGTACTGTTAGAAGAAAATAAAGCCTTTATGTAAAGTGTCTTAAGTTTAGTCAGATGTTTTAAACCACATCAGTGTGAATGCAAAAATAATTTCAAAAATAATAAATGCTATTCTTATCGCTTTTATTACAGGCTGGGTTATGTGGAAGGCAGTGGCACAGTAATCACATAGTTCTTAAGTAATAGCATGCAATTATATTCCTCCAAACCACTGGGAATGCTGGAAGCATGTTAGTAGATAAAAGAGCAAGCAAAGGTCCCAAAGATGTAACCATGGCTGTCTACTGTAATACTTCAGCCTCTGTCTGTGGCTTTGATTGTATTTCTGAAGACAGATCCTCTGAACCTGTTCTGGTGAATACCTGCTTCATCCATTTCTGTTGGGTGAGTTAGGCACATGAGGAGGCATTACTTGCTGCTGCTGGTAGTGACCTGGCAGAGAAGAAAATAAATTCTTTAAATTACGTGCTAGATTATTAGAAAATAATTACAAATGGAAGTATTTTGTTGCTAGTTTGGACAATATGAAATTTTGGAAGGAATGAGTACTTTTTTGGTGCAATAAAATGCTCTCTTGATAAAAGAGCTCCTACCTGCTGTTTTTTAAAGTTTTTCTGAGTGGACTATACTTGTCTCACAATGCTGTGTTGAAGACACCTTTGCCTGGCAGCATCTTTGAAATAGTTGTTTTGACTGTGTAACAACGGACTTGCTTTCAAGATGGTTGAAAAATCATAATATCACTGTGAGTGTTGATGCTGGTTTGGGTGAAATATGTTCTTTTCGTTCCTCTTTGCTGATAACATCAACAGTAGTATTTCTTTCCCCCCCCACCTTTTTTAAAAATTAGGTATGGTGTGCATGGGGCTCAGAGCAACCTTATCTAGTCAAAGATGTTGCTGCTTCGTGCAGGGGAGTTGAACCAGATGACATTTAAAGGTTCAGTCCAACCTAGACCATTCTGTGATTCTGTGTGCATTAGATAGCCATAATTTATTCTTACTTATTTTCTCCACCTGCTTTATTAATGTAATTCTTCCTTCACATGTGAGAATTCTCCTAATTTCAGCAGTGGATGTGCAGTTGGTTCCACCTGTTCCAAGTGCAGGTTGTACTGGGCAGGATGTCATACATCCAGACTGGCTTGTTTGTGCTGTTGCACACTTCCAAATATCAAATATGACCACTATATGGACTCTTGTTTAGAATTTGATTGTTATTTGCCACTAGAGAAAAATATATTTGATATGCCCCGCTCCTTTTAAGAATTCTCTCTGATAATTACTTTGAAAAAAATCATAATTTTGAATTAATATTTTGATTAAATGGTAGTGTTTTTTGGATAAGGCTGAGAGCCTCTCATTTTGGTCATTTAACTTGAACTCATATCAATAAATAATGTCTTTATAAGGCTAAAAAAGTAATAGAACTCAGTTTCCTTTTAATTTCAAAAGTCAGTCCCTTCCTACAGCCTTTCTGTGTTTATATGAAGATTTCTAACTTTACTTGCTGGGTTTTTTTACACAAATAGTATCTTAAGTATATTAGGACAGGGAGAGAGAATGTTTGCTTACTGTCACCAATGACTTGAATGTTACCCTGCAGCCAAAACTTAGGAGATGTAATTCTTATGGCTAAAACATGAAGATAAATCAA